CTTAAAATAATTTATAGTATATACATATATAATATATAAATATGAATATATATTAAAAAACAAATAAAATAACTTGTATGACATTAAAAATAAGTTAAAAAACACGAACACGAACATGTCGAACAATTCAAACACGAACTTGTCGAACCAATAAACAAACAAAATTTTTTGTTCGTTTATTAAACGAACGAACACGAACATGTTCGAAAATTAGTTGAACTCGAGCTCAAACACCTTAAGCTCGGTTAGTTTCGATAACAACCATACTTTATAGTATATAGTATAAAGTATGTACTATCTACTATATAGTATATAGTATATAGTATATAGTTTGTAGTATGTAGTAGCTAGTATAATATATAGTATATATTATTATTTAGTATCTAATATAGTATTTAGTATATAGTATATAGTATATAATTTGCAGTATGTAGTATCTAGTATAGTATATAGTATATAGTATTATGTGGTATGTAGTATAATCAACTCAATTTTAATCTTAGTTGTAATTGTAAGACTAAATTTAATCTTAGTTTTAAATTTACATACTATCATGTAAATTATATCACTACAATGGTATTTAGAGCATAATTTTATTCAAATTTTGGTGTAAATATTATAATCATAATCAACTCAATTTTAATCTTAATGATATTTCTTTTTAATTTTTTATTTGATTAGGGTATAAAACGTATTATTTGAATACGTTTCATAGGGTATCAAACATATTCAAATAATACGTTTTCTTCCCTATTTAATTGTAAAACGTATTTACAGAATACATTTTACAATTAAAAAAAAATGATTGAAGGTTCGCGCTTAATGGGAATCGAACCCAAGTGTGGACGTTTCAAACCCTCAAGACCGCCTTCAATACCAACCTGCCACTAGCTGATGCCATTTATTTATGCGCAAATATATACTTATCCTTGATTATCGAGATTTATAAAACTTTGACTTAGGAATATCGAGGTATATACTATATACTATACATTATATGATATATAAATATACTAGATATTACATAATACTATATACTAGATAGTACATTATACTATAAACTAGGGATGTTATCGAACCGAACCGAGAATTAGGTGTTCGAGGGTATAAAATTATATAATATATAATGTATACAAATATTATATATAATATTATATACTAGATAGTACATAATACTATATATATAATATATAAAATTATATAATATATAATATATACATATATTATATATAACATAAAAAGTTATATAATATATGTACATACTATATAAATCCTAGGTCAAAATTTTTATAAATCTCGATATTCAAGGATGAGTATATAATTTGCACATAAATAAACACGATCGCGTAGCGGCAGGATGGTAGTGAAGGTAACCTTGAGGGTTTGACTAGTCCTCACCCAGGTTTGATTCCCCTCAAGGCCAACCTTCCACTATAAACTATATAATATATACTTTGCACTATATACTAAACACTATATAGTCAGTGTTCAAATTATTCGACATGTTCGTGTTTGTGTTTTCTCACCTTTTTTTTATTATAATGACATACAAGTTATTTTATTTTAAAAACGTATTCTCTGAATACGATTTAGGACTAAATATAAAAACAGAAAAATCTCGTCTTCTTTCTTACGCGAACAAAAACTCACTGCACAAAGAGAAAGAAAGAGAGCAGCGACTCACAAGAGAGAAAGAAAGAAGCTTCGGAAAATTTCGCCGCCGGACCTCCTTCCCATCAATTAAGTACATTTCTTCTATTAGGTTTTCGATTTTTTCAAATTTTTAATAATTTCGAATTAGGGCTTAGGGTTTTGATAACAAGATTTGATAAATTAGGGGTTATGGTTTTAAAAATATGTGGTTTTATGATGTTTTTAATGATTTGTTTGTTCTTTCTTGGGCTTTCTCTTTTGCTAGGGGTGAGAAAAATCTGAGCTTTCTGATTTTTTTCTTGAGGCCTGCAAATGGTGAAAGGATTTTTGTGGGATTAGTGGATTAATGTATTTTAGCTATTGGATTAATGGATTTTGTTTGCTCTTCATCTTATTAGAGGCATGACAATTGTGTTTGAACTGTAATTGAATAAACCTATACAGGTTGGCCATATTTGGCATAATAATAATAATAATAATAATAATAATAATAATAATAATAATAATAATAATAATAATAATAATAATAATAATAATAATAATAATAATTCAGTGATTTTCTGGTGTGTACATATGTATCATCATCATCATTATGATATGAATATCCATGTGGACTCAATTTTATTAATGTGTTTTGATCATTTGGGACACAATAGCAGTTCAAGATATTCTTCAAATTGAGTTGACATTCTATATCAAAATTTTCTTCTTATTTATTGGATTATGATATGTCTTAATTAAATGCGATGTGTCTTTTTTTTTATTTAGAAAATGGCCTGATCGTCGTCGTCACAACCTCGCCGGTACAATGTACACCCCGGTCCGATGGATTTCTCCCTTCTATATCTTCAGTACCGCCACCAGTCCTAGGCGTTATTTGAAGATATAAAGGGATATCGTAACGGCACGGTTAAAAACCACCGTTACGACACTCAGTTTTGGCATGCCTTGGAAAACCAACATGCCAGAGTTTGAGAGGTGATCGACAGGACGAGTTTTGGGCGGCTGTTTCGAATGGGGTGAGTACAGACTGACAACAACCTCATCATCTGTCTGGTGGATAGGTAGCGACCGGAGACGCATACCTTCCACTTTGATTTCGGGGAGGCCACGATCACGCTCCAGGACGTCCAAGTTCTATTTGGTCTCCCGGTCAATGGAAATGCTTGTTGGGGGGAGACTGTAGATTTAACTCTCCAACAATAGCGATACTGGTGTTCGGACTTGCTAGGGTTTGAGCCCTATGTCCAGGTATATTTTTTTCTACATTTTTTTTTTTGTTTATGTATACTCCATTATTTCATTTTTAATATATATATAAACTACTCTCAGGATAATGAAGAGGACCCGGCGTACGACCCCAAAACTTGGGCCATTCAAGGTCTGTTTATGAAGATTCTGGGGTTAGAAGCGGAATGCAACACATAGCTATCAGATGGAGAACACACCAGAGTCTACGGACAGAGGGCGAGAGCCCTTATACTGTGGTGCATTGGGTCCTTCTTCTTTCCCGACCAGCGGGCCAATAAATGTTGGGTTCTCTGAGGAACGTCAAACAACATGCACAGTATTGAACTTATCGAAATAAATCCTACGCAGCGGAATCTATAGTTAGGATATGGACGTTTACCTTTTAAAATTTTTGCAGACTCTGATACGATGTAGAGTACTTTGTGTAGTTCGTCTGAATACCACAATCTAATGGGTGGATAGATTTGACATTTAGTCGATTCTAATCGACACGTCAAACGAAACTCGGACGGACGGTGGCTTGGTCTCGTGATCGGGGTAGAGCAGAAGGGATGCAGGCGTTGGCCGCGGGCAGCGTGCGATGCGCGACGGGCGCTGGCGTGACGCATGGGTACCAGAGATACGCGGATGGGTGCTGGCGACTGTTGGGCGTGTGCGCGCATGCAGGGCGAGACTCTTATACCGCTGCGGATAGGCGTTGGCGTCTGGGGTCACGCGGGCGTCTTGTGCGGCTCGCCTGGGCGCGCGAGAAATGGCACGCGCGTAGCAGACGGGCGCTGGGACCTCGCGCGATGGACGACTGGCAGCGATGGCGGATCGCGAGAAGGTGGACGTCGCAGTGCGTCGCTGGTGGCGCGCGGTAGCGTCTGACTGCGCGCGGTTGGCGCCGCTGGCGTGCGACTGCGTGCAGCTGGGCGCTTGCGACTTCCGGCGACTTTCGACGGCGGCAATGGTTTTTCGGCAGTGGTCGACGGCGGCGGACGTCTGCTGTCGGCTGAGGAAGGTGACCGGAAAATATATGTAATAAAAGGCTCGAATATATTGTACCTAAAAGCCTTCTGACGGATTACCTAAACACCTACTTCGATTAAACTTGGTGGAGCGTTTAATCGAATCTCCCTAACTCTCGGCCAGCATAAACTCATGAACAAGAGGTTGGGACGTGGTGTATTTATAGGCTCTATTAGAGACCTTAAGGAGGTGCTAAATATGAGTTAGGATTCCTAATTCTACTCCAAATACTAATCCAATGTAGGAAAGAAATCTCCTATTAATCTAACTCTTCTAGAAGACTCCTTAGTCTCCTAACACTAGAGAAGATTCTAGTAGGAATACTTTTTCTAATTAAATTAGTAATCATGGAATAAAATTAATTCCTAATCAGGAATCCTAATTCTACTCCAATTTATAATCCAATGTAGGAAATATTTCTCCTACTAATCTTCATCTTCTAGAATACTACTTAGTCTCCTAACACTAGAGAAGATTCTAGTAGGAATATTATCTTCCTAATTAAATTAATTAATATGGAATAAAGTTAATTCATATTTAAATGGAATTAAATAATAAAACATCCCACTAGAGTAATATTATTGCTCTCCCCATTTAGCCACTATTTTACCAATAAAATCGAGTCTCCATGATTAAATAATATTAATCCGATTGATTGATTTACCTCCATATGTTTAAGATATAAAGTCCGTTGATTAATTAAATTACTGACAAAATAATTAATCAACTTTTTATTCATTTACGAAATTAGTACCACTCAGAACCTTAACCATTCTGTCAGACAATCGTCTACCTGCAGAGTTTAACATAATGTACATTCCTGAGCTCATTTCGGGGACGTCATCAATCCAGCGCACTGGAACATAGTGACCATAAATAATTTATAATAGAACATCATATAATTATGGCCTAATTGCTTATAAATGCATGACTTTTTCGAAAATTGCAATTTTATGCACCACTTTTAAACTTGGCAAAAATATGTACCACTTTCATTATTGTTTGCAAATATATGATCAGGGCCCAATTTCGGGCTTTTCTAATCGATGTGGCGTTATTTTTTCAGACGTGTCAATTATCTCACTTTAACTTGAAAAAACCGAATACACGTGGAAATACCGATTAACTTTTAACTTCAATCTAGGGTTTGAGGAAATTTGGGGAAGATCGAAATCGACAACCGCCACATTCCCTGCTCTCTCGCCTACTTCATCGAGAGACGACTCGCAGTCATTGGCGCTTTTGTTAGCGTTGCCGTTGTTGCTCGCGGTCATGCGCTTTCTCATGTGGCCACCCTGCGCCTGCCTCGACCCGAATTCAGATCCACAGATGGAGCACTCGTGAATTTTCACTTTTCTCTCTATATTCAAACCCTTACCGATCAAATGCGGGGGAGAAACATCGGCGGCAGCGGCGGCGGCAGACAAAATCGATCCACCTTCCTCTCCAGTCGTCAGGGAATAATTCGGATTGGACTTCTTATGGCTCGCCCGGTGGCCGCCCAAATTCTAAAATGAGGGGAAAGTCCTGCCGTAGGTTTTACATTCGTATATGTAAATCCCGATCTGCCCTCCACCGGACGATTTATTTTCCGGCACAGTTTGGCTTTTCGTTGTGCATTTCTAACCGCCTCGTGCATAAAATCCGTTCGAATTTATGGTTTTAGGAAATTTGGGGAATTTTTGGATAGCTCGTCGATTGAAAATGAGATTCTCAGTATTATATACGCAATTGCAACGTGGAATATAGATTTAGAATAATAATTGACACGTTTGAAAAAATAATGCCACATCGATCATAAAAGCCCGAAATTGGGCCCTGATCATAAATTTGCAAACAATAATGAAAGTGGTGCATATTTTTGCCAAGTTTAAAAGTGGTGCATAAAATTGCAATTTTCGAAGGTCATGCATTTATAAGCAATTAGGCCTATAATTATTCTTACTCAACAAAATACCTCGTATGTCATTCTAATAAAATATGAATCACTTGGTAAATCAAATAAATAAGAGATAAATATATATATGCCTATTTTACATTATCTTACAGCTTAAGAGAATGCATCAATCACTGAAGGTCTAGGTTACAACAACTATCAGTGAGTCTCATAACCTTATCCTTCTGTGGTTCTGTTCAACACATAACATAAGTGCTAGTGTAATTCTTCAGTCAAAGGCCAACTGAATCAAGAATACACTACACTCTTTTTCCAAGAGGGGTCTCACTATCTGTTTAGACTGTGAAAGAATAGTTTAGTCTTATAAGGAACTGATAGGTGATCTTTCTGTTCAACACACTTCGAACCACACTATCTTAATATAAGACAAGGAGTATGATTTGCATATATAAATAAACTGCAAACATATGTACTTTGACTGAAACATGATAGCCAGATCAAAATGGAATCGATAGAATCTGCAAAACATAACTTTTGCAGCATATCTCTAACAATAAAGTCAACCTTTACTGGTTGCAGTTGTTGCAGGACATTGATGCGATTAAGGGGTACAACTGGGGTTCAGCGGTCCTGAGAAGAGTATATAGTGTTGTGCACAACCTACCAAGCCGGGGAAAAATGGATCAAGATTTGTGTGTAATTGATTCAGGTACATTTATTTACTTGTTATTTGAAAATTCATTTTTTTTCTAATTTAGACTAATATCTAATAACAAAAATGCATATGTCGATATGTGTAGGTTTTGGCACAGGAACGTATCCTTCGTCTTTGCCCAAGAATGATGTCCACGGACTTTGGTTCTCATTGTGGTTGTCCCTTAGGTGTAAGGTAATCACATTTATTTATATTTAATAGTTAGGTTATTTCCATTATCAAATTTTGTGATTACAAAGTATTTTTTTTATGTCATTTTTAATGTGGGTGGGACAGAGGGACATGAAACACATAGGCAAGGGAACGACCGCTGTACGGGATCAACTGATAGGGATGAGAGAGATTAATATAAGATTCTTAAGTCCTATTCATTTATTTATCTTTTTTTGTGTTTTTAATTTTTTAATAACTTAATTTCTAATTCATATTTTTTTTCAGTTCGATTGGGTTCCCTATGAGAAGTACATTGGGGCTGGTACTCTCCCGGACGAGTGTACAGAAGATCCACATGCTTGGATGTATAAGGGGTGGATCTTCTGTTGGAATATCCGTGAACCCCACCTGTCTGATAGAGTCCTCCGTCAGTTTTGGGTGCCACCAGTCCATCCCCCAAATTCCGAGCATTAGGGGTAAGGCCGAATGGGACACACACCACCGAGGCTAGGGAATGACTGGGAGGTCATTTGCTGATTGGGCCGCTTTTATTCGGAACTTGGGAAGGCTTGGGCTGAAGAAAGAGACCAAAATGTCCTCTCAAATGATCCTGTGAATCACTTCCTACAGCCTGAGGAGGATTACATTGATTGGTTTCACAGTAGGACTGTGAGACTCATTAGTGACCCTAACAAGTACACGGTGGTCCAACAGGACGGCAGCTATCAACCAGTTGCCGAGCAGGAGAAGTGTGATGTAAGTGTTCATAATTTGTGGTTTTTTTTAATTATTATTTTTATGTTTCATATTAATTATTTAAATTTAATTTTCCAACTCAAGCCCTGGAGGGGTTTATAACTCGTTAGTGAGTATTCAAGACATATTTCATACACTCCTCCACGGGTGCAGGACGCAATCCAACAGTCCCAGAACCTTGCCTACACTTCTCTGGCTGTTGGAGGCCAATAGGTCTCACAAGGGGCGTCGTCCAGTCAAGTTCTATCTCAGGAGGATTACGTACCATCCTAGAAGACGCAGTCACACCGAGCGAGGCATCAACCCTCTACCAACATTGGTGGAGGTAGAAGAAGTCGTGATCGCAAACCCGCCGAAGGTGATATTTTTTTACTTAACAACAAAATGAATTTTATGTATTTATTTATTTATTTTTTGTCTAGTCGACTTTGTGCTTTTTTTTAAAAAAATTAATTACTCAAGTGAAGAAGAAGAAGCTGCCACGCCTATCACGGCCACAACCTTGTCTTCTTCATGACCAATGCCTCGGAAGGGGTCCCGGCAGCGTAGACCTAGGAATCCATTCACTTCTAGTTAGTTTGTGTTGTATTCGGGGAATTTTGTGGACTTATTTTTATTTTTCTAGATTATGTGTACTGATATTTTGACATGTTTGTATTTTCAATAAATAATTGTGGTTGACTTTTTGTATATAGTGTATGTATGTTAGATTATTATTTGACGAATGGATTGATATTAGTTTGTCAAACAAGTATATTTGGTTGTGGAATTGATCCCGACAAACGGTGTGTTCTTTTATTTTTCTGCACAGTAAAATGTATTCTTGAAATACGTTTTATATTTATGTTTTTAATTATAAAACGTATTTTGAGAACCTGTCCTCCCACTTTTTTAGCCGTTGGCTGTTGTGTATTTGTGTATTCGCACATTTGTGTGTTTTTTATTAATAATACCATCTATCATTCTGAAAAAGAAAGAATACGTCTTAAGGGCAAAATTAGGCAAAATTTTAGCACAAAATGGAACTATTTTCAAAATACGTTTTATTTTTTTTAAAAAAAAAAACTATTTTCTGCAAAAATAAATTATAAAGTTAATTTATTTATAAAAGCTTTTTTGCGAATGCGTTTTTAAGCTTTTTAAATTTATTTATTGTAAATAAATAATATATAAAATTAATTTTATTAATAACACGTATTTCAGAAATACAGTTTACAAAATTTTATGTATAAAACGTATTGTAGAAATACATTTTAAATTTATTAAATTTTAATCACATGATTAATTTAGTTGACTGTAAAATGTATTTCGAGAATACAATTTAGGATGTAAAACGTATTCCTATAATACCTTCTCTTGATTTTTGTCCACCTTTTTTTTTTGTCCATTTATTTTTTTTTTTT